CTATTGTATTGTTAATATTGTTATCTTATGTATTGCTATGTATTACTACGTATTGCTAGCGTATTGCTAGTACTGCTACTGCTAACATTGCCTGCTTTATTACTGTATTGTCACAATATATTTCTAAAAAAATATACTGATTGCTAGTGGTTGACCCCTTGCTAGACTATTTTTTCAGTGCAGGATAAGAAATAATGAAGATACTCATAATATGACCATGCATACCTATCCGAAAAATTATTGTATCTAATAAATCAATAATGGTCTCGGGATAAAATTAGAATGACTCAATATTGTTTACTTTACAAATATTAACATTTAGAACAAAATATCTTATCTATCTGTAGAAATGTAGATTGTAATTTATGAAGTTAGAGGAAAAAACATAAGAAATAAAAAAATAAAGTACCTATTTATTTAATATATAATAATAAATATCCGAAGTACATAAATTTAAATCAAACTTCGCAGCAAATTAGAATGCGCGAAGACACATGCATCTTTTTACAACAGTCAGCACTACTAGTACCAATCATTACAGAAATATAAAGGATTGCTCATATTACCTGCATCATAATATCCGATCCTATCCTACATAGATCAAGCATTTTTATGATGTTTAATGGTGGGGGATAAAGTCGGAAATTAATAGTTTATGTGGCGTTTAGGATGTTATTTCATGTTATTCCATTCTATCGTTTCACTCTACTGCTTTCATCAAAATAGAAAGAGACACTACGAATCCTAGCTATATAAATTGTCATTTTCCGGCTTCAAGTACGGACAGAATGTTTGGTCTATATATATATATGTCCTTGGATGATTGATGTAGAGAAGAAATATATAGGTAACTGTATTTAAACCATTTGCATATGAAATGCAACAATTCAGAAAAAGTATGCATAATTTTATTAATTTTTTATTATAATTATTTAGATGAATTATTCACATTTAAATAAATAAATAAAATATACTACGCAAAAAAATTAAGGGATACTCTATTCTGTTCTCCAAAAATGGACAATTTTCAAGAGAGTATAACTTTCAAAGAGCGTTTTATAACTGTCCGAAACCGATTTAATTCTCTTTGAAATATTGTTATTAAATACAAAAAATCTAAATGACATATATCTTTTTATACGTGCGGAATTTCATGTTTAAGGAATGAACAGTTTTTTGAAAAAAAAAAACGGTTTTTTTCTTTCGAAGCGTACATCGTCAGAAGTATTAAAAAAAATCGATAATTATTTATTTACTGGATTATAGTATTTATTTATTGGAGAGGACTCAGTTCCTTTGAGCTTAACATATGTTGTCAAAGTTATAATTCTAAGTAACTTTTTCTTAGCAAGATGGCGGTCTCTTATAGTTTTTGAGATATTTAAAGTTAAAGTGCAATTTTAGTATTAGCGTCTATTATACGATTTCCTACGCGAAGCGAAGTCCATCGAACTTCCCCTTCTCTCAAAGGGATTCCATTCCACCGGGAGCGACATTCCCCATTAAGTCTAATCAACCATCTCCTCTATCTAAAAGTGTCTGATTTTTCACGCGAAGTTCAGCCCCTGTCTCTCTGCCTAGCAGCATCCGATTTTCCTTTTCGCGTAAAGAAAGTGTGGGCTGAAACTTACTTCGCGTAGAAAATTTGTTTTAAAGTACAAGTTCTCTGTTTTGAAAACATTCAAGATCAAGGTCATCGGAGCTAAATCCGTTATTGTCAAAATTTACAAAATATTTATTTGTTGATTATGAATTAAATTATATAATTTATCTATTCATTTACTTTCCTGATGGAATGATTAAACCCTAGCTCGCCATTGTTATTTTTTTATTACCTTCTCGGCCACAACTAAACCTTTTTCTATGAAACTCAATTTTGTCACGCTATACTTTTGAATTAAATACATATTTTTTTAGTTCAAAACATGTGAAATCTGATCTCAAAGTTAGAGAGAAAGACAAATAAACATAAATCAAATAAAAAATATTTTATTTTCAATTAATATAATAATTTCAATGATTTAAAAAATTTTATTGGAAAAATTCGTAAAAAATGATGACTTTATATAAAAAATTTCCAAATTTTTTAATCTAAACTGAAATTTTTTTAGTTGATTTTCTGAAGTAACAAAAAAAATAATACGATATAAATCTCTCAAATATAATTATTTAAAGTATCGAAAATCATTTTTTAAAAATCTACATATCGTGATTTTAATAAATTTTAATGAAAAATGTAAAAATGTAAAAAAGCCCATCAAATGTAAAAAAGCTCAAAATGTAAAAGAGCCTATATTAACTGTTCAGATGCACAGAAAATTCTTTATTTTCGTATGAATGTAACAAAATGAATAAAATATACATTTTGATCCTTCAATTTAGATCCTTATCAATTTAAAATTATAATACTATTGGGTTATCCGGAAAATTCGTGCCGATTTTGAAGGAAAATTGAAACGCAGAAGATTTAAATTTTACATTTATTAAATTATATAGGTTAGTAAAGTTCGGCACGAACTTTCCGGACAACCCAATAATTTTTATTTGACGTTGTTAGCAATAATTCTCACACA